GTCGGTGGGTTTTGAACTCCCAACCTACCACTTGGAGGGTTGACAACTTATCCACTTCACTAAGTCGCCACACCCCTCTGTTTTATATATATTATATAGTTTATTAAACAAATTGATTAGTTAATATATATAACTATTTTTATTATAATTTTAATTGTTTAGAACAAAAAAATATTAACAGACATGTTTAAAATATTTTATTATAATTTGTTTGCTATTTATATTTATGTTTTATAATAGTATTGCTTTTAAATATTAGATTATAAGTTCAAAACTAATTAAAAATAAAAATTTAAAATTCATTTTTGTTATAATAATTATTTTTATTAATTAATTAAGATAAAATATCTGTAACTATACTTATACAGAATGTAAGTTCTATAGTTTAGTAATTAAAATCCTATATTTTTATAATCAAAATTAATAGTTCAAGTCTAATTAAAAACAAAAATCTAAAAAAATTTTAGTTTTTGTAATCCAAAAAAAGGATCAATAATTAAGCATAAAGCTCTGTAAACAAAGATTAAATGCAGTATATAATTAGAATAAAAATTTTAAAAAAAGACCAATTTTGCAAAATATAAGTATTATATATAATAGTTGCATTACAGAAGGTTCAGATATACAACAGTATTGTAAAATAAGTTTTTTTTAAAAATAAGACAGCATTAATATATTTGTATTACAGATAACTTAATTGAAAGTATAATATAATATATATATATATATATATTTTTAAATATTAAGATGAGTACTTGCAACTCAGAATTTTATTGATAGTATATTTGGCTAATGATTGCTTTACAACCATAGAAGGCAATCATGAAGAGAGTTTACAACTAGCCACTCGTATAACTTTAGTCATTGTCTAATTTAAGTAGTTTGCTCAAAGGTTCTACACTAGCTACCATATCTATATAATATATTTATAATTAAAGTAATAAATAATATAATATATATAAAAAAGATTTGTAACTAAAAATTAGCTATTCTTAAATTAGAAGCATTTTTAATATTATAAAGTATTAAAAATAAAAAGTAACTATAAGTATAGTGAATGTAGTTTGTTCTGTAAATTTAAAAATATCAAACTAGTTTTAATTATATTTATATAAAAGTCTATAATGGAATAAAAAAATTAAGATATTTTAATTAGAAATATATAATGATTAATAACTAGAAACAATTAATATATAATTACTTAAAATATAGTTCTACTAAACTATAAAAAGCAATTTCAAAAAATGCACTCTTTTTACTAATCACTCAAACACAAATTTAATAAGAAGCAAAAACCAAGTTTATACAAAAACAGTTATTCAAATCATTCTGACAGGTCTAAGTAAAAAAAGAAAAATATTTAAAAAAGATATAGAAAAAGAAAAAATAGTTAAAAATAAGCTAATTAACAAAAAAGCAAGAAAAATTAAAAAATATTTGAAAAAATACTTGAAAAATAAAAATTTAGAGAAATTGGCACTAATGCTATATTACAGATCTGTTTCAATTATGAGAATATAAACAAACAAGCAAATCAGTTATGTGCAAATCAAGCAAAATATACACATACACAACTTGAATTAGAAATATAAATATATTAGAAAGGCATAGTAACAGCTTAATAACAATATACATCAAAAGAGCATACTAGCCTATTAACAGTATATACAATAGAGTATTTTTTAAACAAGCAGATAAAACATATATAAACCTGATAGAGAAGATAAAATTGTCATTAAAGGTGCAAACATTTCTCAAGATAATTACTACCTACATCACTACGTCTATGATGTAGGGGACATACTATCCTAGAGGTTATATTAATGTGACATAAGTGACATAACATTTGACATTTGATGTATTGATATGAATAATGTAGTAAGACATAAATAGTGCAATATGACGTGACTTTTGGCATTTGACATAATGATGGAACTAATGTAGTATAACATGACTAGTGTAGTATGACTTGACTAGTATAGTATGACTTGACTAGTGTAGTATAACATAACTAAAGTAGTATAATAAGACTAATATAATTTAACATAATGATGTAACTAACATGGTATGGCTTTATTATTGTATTTTTGCTACTTGTGCACTAACTATTTTTTTCATTACTTCTATTTGAGATCTTACTGACTTGCATATTTCAAATACATTATTTCAAAACTAGAAGTAGATTTTGTTCGTGAATTAAATTTGATGCATTTTATTTTTACTTCTAATGTAAATTGGTCAATTTATTTAAATCTTTCAATACCATACAATTACAAAAAAAATGAAGTGAAAAAAATTAGATAAATATACAGTTTTTTTTTAAAATCATAAAAAAAAACTTTGTTCTTGCTAGAACTTATTGTCAGTAATATTGAATTTTTTGTGAATAACATTAGCAATATAAGGTTATCTAAGTTATGTAAGAAAAAGGAACACTTCATAGTTTTGGAAATCAGAATCAAGCTATGAGCAGATAATTTTCAAGGTACCTTATCTATTATAGGCTGTTTATAAATTGGTTGTGTATAAAATTTTTAAGCTCTTTATGCATGATTTCAGAAGACTGATTATACAACATATGAATTATTTTGCCTAGCATGTTTAGGTTTAATTTCTTTGGATTTGACATGAGATTTGATTGGTAGAGCATCACAGATAAGAAATTTACATTTTGATTTATTATGCAGACAGGAGTTTGATTTTATAAATGAAAGAAATATTATATAATTTCTTACAGAAATAATTTTATTAACAAAACTATTTGTCATCTAATTCGTATAATGTAGTTCTATCCTGTCTAATACTATGACTTCACTATAAATAAGATATTAGATTCAAAGTTGATCCCTTACAACTCTAATTTGTACATCACATTTTTTACCCAACTCATTTAATACAATACAAGTACTATATGTAATATAATTAGATCTTTCTTCTGTAACTTTTTTTAATTCAAAATACTTCCATACCCAGCTTCATTTTTTTGATTCACCTATGTGTTCTAATCTTTCAGATGTTTTATTTTCATTTACATCATTTGCACCTTCTAATACCGAACTATTAGGTTGATCAGTAAATGGCTTATTGAATGACTGAACCAGTGGAGATGGTAAACTGCCTTCTTCCATAATTTATATATAAAACCAGAGTTTGGCTTTATTAAAACATTAATGAGGCACAAGATTAAATATATGTTTATAATATTTATTTTAATAAGATTTATAATATTAGGTTAAACAATAATATGAAATACAATACAAACGATGGCAACAAAAAGGCTCTTTATATTTTTTTTACATAATAGTGGTTTTTGATATCTTTTTGATACTTGTTACTATTATCTTTTCTCTATTCTATATGAATTAGGGAAATGATAAGATTATGTATAGAGAACTATTCCACTTTCTGTAATATGTAGAATTCTTTATCGATTTTAATCTCACCTTATTTTTATATGGCCAGTGAATCAATAAGATGTCATGAAATAACCAGAGATTGGACCATAGTAGAAATTACCATAGTATATTATCTAAAATATATTATAATTTATCTGAGACTTTCTTGATAGGCTTAATCTCTAATCATATCATTGATGTATTCTAAATACACAACCTCATAATTTTAAGGCTATGGTTAAGATTCATAAAAACCTCTGCTTAAACAATAGCACATATTGTATCATTGTTGAAAATTTTTTTTCTTTTTTGAATTGCAGTATATCTTAAGTAAATCTAACTTCAAAATATACATGATATGGATTCTTTGGTAATAGAATAAATATCTTACTAAAAAGTTTATCATTTGCAATTCAATTGAACTAAATTTGTATATTATGAATAAAATGTTTAACATATAATACTGAGTATACTGAGCATTTTGCACTTTTACTAATATGTGCATTGTATTTTATATAGTAGACACTCAAAAATATGCAATATGTATTTAATAGTCATTTTTTATATACTGTCCCAAATACTTTTATAAATGCTTTTCTTTAAATGTACCTGAACTTTTTATAATACATGTTGACAAGGATCAACTGATCGAAAATAGGGTGCCAGAATTCTGTGGTGCATAATTCTGGATGCTCTAATTGAAAAGACAGAGAAGTGGTCAGGGTCACATGCCACATGCTATGACCCTGCCTAAAAGAATATCAACCACATTAATACAACTATGTAACAAAAAAGCTACTGATCTCAATCAACATATAAGGAGTGATGAATAAATTACTATCTCTTTTCCCTTGTAACAATCAAGCATTATAACCATCATTTTCTCAATCCAACCTATCCCATCACACATAGAAGCCTCCTGATTCTGCCATTTTTCTATTTAACAGCTGGCCTGCTTCGAGCAGGTGGGAAACCACTGCTGATGCTGCTTTTTACTCTTCTACTGTTACGATAATACTTGGGCACAATCTCACTTGCTAATTTTCTCAGAAGCATATCATCATTTCAGCTCAAATCACTCAACTCAAATTACTCAGTTCAAATTACTCAGCTCAAATTGCTCAGTTTATTCATGATGTATTCTGCGAACTTAAAGTTCTTTAATTGAAATTTCTAGTACCTTTGGCTAGCTGGCATTCTTCCAATTACATGACTAGTTGGACTTATACTTTTCAGGTTTCAGATTTGTAATATACCTTATATATGTATATATGTAAAATAATCAACTTTTTTAGAGCCTAAAAAATTTCTGAAATTAAGTATATAAGTGTTCCTATGTACTGTAAATAGCCATATAAAAGACCTGGGTCTGTTACATTCTACCAATTTTAAAAACCTATAGTAGATCTGGGGTCTAATACATGGCTGAGAGTTTGTATCCTTGAAAGTAAAAATTTAAAATGCATACACACTTTGCATTTGTAATATGCAATTTAGATGTTTGAAAAGAATTGCATTTTAATCAAGAAGATCCTAAGATCTGCACATGGGTCTAGTACCTGGTCTTTTATATGGCCATTTACAGTATTACACAGATAAAAATATAGGGTTCCCTTTAAAATGCTCTATTACGCTACAGAACCATTTTTTTAATATTAAATATTTAAGCAAATTTGGCTACAAAAAACTTTAGTTTAATAAAGAATAGCAGTAATGTCACGTATTCAAATGTTTTTAACCATTATTGATCATTTACCAGATATTCATTAAGGAATATCTGTGGATAATACAGTAATATGTAAATGCACTAAATGCCATAAATATTTTAGTCTAATAATGTACAATGTATCATGACACCCAATTATTAATCAATAAAATAGACAATTCTTTTAGTTACATACAATACAAGACTTTTATTCTTATTGTTATATGTAGCAGTAGCAGTTTGTGTTAATACTATAGTACATACGTAATGTACATAATGTAAAAAGAACAAAAAGTATGAATAAAGTATTCAATATTTTACTACAACTTGATTTAATGCATGAAATAAAAATACTAATGCATAATGTGTATGATGAATAGAACAGGTCAAAAAAGCTGTAGACATCAAAAATATACAACACTAACACAGAGTATCTGTGACTGTTGAAAACAATTAGATTAAAATAAACTAGCAGATGATGCAGAGGTTAAAAAACCCATACATAAATAATTGAGGAAGTGAAAAAAAAAAACTATCAAAAATCACAAAATTAAAGTGGTCCAATGGCAGGTTTTTGTTTGTAACATATAGATTGTTTTACATAAAAGAAAATAAGAACAATGGCAGATAAATGAATTGAAAAAATGAACATTATATTGTAGTTTATTATGCTAAATCGAAAGGTGAGATAATTGTATAAATATAGTTGTCAAATTTTTAAATTACTATCCTGTGTAATTTATTTATTAACAGCTTTAACAAAAATTATATCTATTGTAGATAATATATTTAAATTTGGAATGGCTGTATTATTTTAATCTATTGTATACAGTAGTACTGTATCTCTAAGTATAAAATTGTATATAAAAGTCAGAAAATGTGAATTCAAAAATTTACCAGACTTACTATATATGAGTTGATTGAAGGCAAACCAAAATGAACATTACTACTACAATATCGATATAAATAAGACTGAGAAATAGGCATTTAGATGCTAAAAATAAAGAGATTCAAAAAAGTTAAGATGTTTGAAGAATCAACATATAGTCTTCTGCTAAGGCACAATTATAAAGTCGAATAATTGAAACTTAAATAAGGTCAGTGATGAAAAATTTGGAATATGCAATGTAATAAATGTATAACATAGAAAATCATTATAATACAGAATACAAAAATTTCAATCTGTGACTTTAAAATTTTTAGCTCATGGCAACAAGTGAAGCAACTGATAAAGGTTCAAGAAAAAGGCATAGGCTTTTTTTAGGAAATTGTGATGAATTTAGTTTGGAAATTAAAGACAATCAAGTAACAACAACAGATATTACTGCAGTGACAGATACTAGTTCACAAACCTTGATAGTTACACATCTATCAAGTTCAAAAAATATACCACAGAATAGGCATTAACCTCATCCATTCTCTGAAATATGGGATTACTTCAACAAAGGAATTGAAAAAAACAATGAACACTATAAGGCTACTTGTAGTTATTGTGGGAAAAAATAGGCACGAGGAAAACCTGCACAACTGGAAGCACATTTATCAAATGACTGCGTTGGTTGTTCAGATGATATATCTCTTTATTTGAGAGAAAAGGTTGCAAAAAGAGATTCAAATTATATTCAAAGACCCAAAAAAAACTGTGTTCTACCAAATTCTATATCACAAACAACAATGAATTCTTATTATGCATCAGACCATCCACTGTCTAAAGCTATAACTAACCGGCTTGATCGAAAAATAATCAAAGCTTGGATAATGGCTAGAATTCCTTTTGATATTATTGACAATTTATTTATTTAAGATATGTTTATAGAGCTTAATCCTGCATATAACTCATCTTTAAGAACAACCTTATCAAACCGAGTGTTTGATGAAGAATTAGCATAGATAAACAAAGCAGTTGATGATGAATTAAAAAAAGCAGACCATTTGACTTTAGGTTAGTATTATTAAATATTATTTGTGCTTTAGATAAAATTTCATGTTCTTTGAAATAACTATTTTTAAGTAAATTAGATTTAATAATTTTCAATTACTAAGCTTTAAATTTATTAAATTTTATAAAGCTTTAGATGGTTGAACATCACTATCAAAGGATTCAATTTACAATTACATTGTCACAACAGATACTTGAAAAGAATATCTAGTTGGATTGAAAAACTATTCAAATCAATCTCACACTGAAGAATTTCTGGCAAACAAAATATCAGAAGTTATTAAAGAACTTGGTTCAGACAAATTCGTGGCTATTGTAACAGATGCAGTATTAAACTGTAATGTTGTGCATAAAATGACACAACAAATGTATCTACATATCTGGAATATTAGATGTGTTACACATGCCATCAACCTTATTGCAGCTAATTTAGTTGAATTAGAGAGCATAAAAAAATTAATTAGTGATTGTGGAAAAATCAATCATTTTTTTAAAAATTTACATGCAAGTTAATCACTACTTACAAAAGGACTTACAGATATGAAAATTAAGAGTGGTGGGCTAAAAATATGGGTAAAAACCCAATGAGGATCTTTATACTTAGCCACTGATTCGATGCTTTGTGCACATCCCATATTTGACTGGATAAATAATAGTTTAATAAAATATTATTAATTATAAATTATTTGCTATAAACTTTTATTATTAGATAATTTCTGATCATGGTGAATCAATTACTAATGAAAAAGTTAGTAATTTAATATCTAGTGAAAGTTTTTTTACTACATGTCGTTTTGTGCACTTGGTGTGACAACCTATTAAAGAAATTATTCATATGTTAGAGGCTAATGATGCAACATTAGCTGACTGCTTTATTTATCTGATTAAATTAGTCATAGCAATTAATAACTTATCTGATATAAATAACTTTAAAATTTCAGCCATTCATATTTTTAATCAGTATTATAAAGAATTTTTATATTCACTTTATATTTTAGCCTATTATATTCATCTGAATTACAGAAGTAAAATTTTAGAATAATCTATAAATTAGTTTAAAGTATATTATGATATTTAATTGATTAATTTCTAGAAAAACATTTAAATGATAATGGATTTTATATAGCTGCACTTACTGCTATTGAGCTTTGGCAAAATCTTGATCATACCTGATCTGAAGTTGAAGAATTAGTTGCACAATTGCGACATTTTGAAGCACAGTGGCTATTATATAACCTTTCTTATGTTGCTGGTATGGATACTCCAAAACTTTGGTGGAGTTCTTTCAAAAATCAACCTTGGCATTTAGCTGAATTAGCATATAGGATATTTTCAATTAATCCTACACAAGCAGCATGTGAAAGAAACTTTTCAACATTAAAATGGATTTTGGAAGATCAATGAATGAACCTGAGTTTGAATAGATTGGAAGAAATGGCTAAAATTAGACAATATTATATAACTAATATTCAATGCGAGTTATGTTTTTTTGGAAAAGAGTTAACAGAAAAGATCTTTAAGATGCATGTAATATTGCATTAGTTGTTAATATAATGGATTGTGAAGAAGAGAACCAAATAAGATTTAATGAGACAAATTTATTAGATGATATAACATTTAATAATTCTACAACCTTGCTAATTGAAGATATTATTGATTTGACAGCTGAAAATAATTATAAATTAGTAGAGACAGCTTGAGTTATTTCTCCTGCTAATTTGGATTATGATTCTCAAGAAGTACTAGATAGTTTTTTAGAATGAGAAAATTAAGAGATTGTATGATATTGTAATAAAATTTACTAAAAACTATCAAGCTGTAGCAAATTTTAAAGTGATGAGGGTCGAGTGGAAGATCTTTT